GAGGAGGAGGAGGAGGAGGAGGATTCGATGTCCACTGCCCCTTCGTCTCCGACTGCACCCCCCCTCCCCGCCGCCCCCGCCGCGCGAGGCGGCGGCGGCTGCGGTGGCCGCGCTTGCTGGCAGGAACTCCAGGGCCCTCCGCGAGGCCCCCCGCGAGGCCGCCGCCGCTGCCCGCCGCCGTGTTTCCCCGACCTCTTCCTCTCCTGACCTCGCACCCAGACCCCGTCTGGCAAGGAAGAGATCATGACGGGAGGATCTTCCGATTTTTTTTGCCTCTGGAGATCCTAGCCAGCCCTCGGGACCGCCAGAAAACGGTTCAGGATGAGGGGCCGGTCCCGGGGACTGGGTCGAGCCCTCTGGGGGTCGACGTAATGACAAAAATCGTGGCGTCGGGGGTCCGTGCAGAGGGGTTCCGCTGTGAGTTTGGGGCCATCGAGGACAACATACTCCCGAACCCCAGTAGCATGGTGGCCCCACTGAGGTCGCCGTCTGGATGATAGTTCTGGGCGGTTGGGTTTGGCACATCTGCATGAAACATAGGGGAAATAATATTGACATAGTTAACCATAAAAACTCGGATGTCCGCGCGGATTTCTCGGATCCGCGCTGGACCCCCCTGGCGGCGCCCCTGTCGCCGCCCTTGCGCGCCGATCTGAGAAATCCGCGGACCTCTGAGTTTTTATGCTTAATGTTTTTGGCCCCAGTGTCCACGTCAGGGTCCCAGCTTTCGGGTCGGCGCTCCGGGGTGTACTCGAGGCCGTCGTGCAGGAGAGAGCGGCGCAGCTGGCCGCAGTGCGGGGCGTGCACCTGCACCGTCTCCCCCAGCGCGTTGTCCGCGATCGCCCTCCGCAGGAGGAGAAAGAAGAGGAGGAGGAGGAGGAGGAGGAGGCGGAGGAGGAGGAGGAGGGGGAGGAGGAGGAGGAAGGCGAGCGAATGACCACCTCCGTGACAGTACCCGCATCCAGAGTGGCCCAAAGCGCACAGCAGCTGCCCCGACGGGCCAGTCTAACCCAGCGGAGCTTCGGCTCGGGCCCTCGAAACCCAACCAGCACTTACAGGGCCGCCGTCTTGGACGCCTCTTGGGCCGTGTTGGGTGTCGGTTGGGCTTTGGCCCTCTTAGGTCGTCTTGGGGCGATCTTTGGGATCTCTTGTGCCGTCTTCGAGCGTCGGGAAGCCGAAAAGGTGGAAACGAGAAAAACTGCCGAAAACGGAAGGATCGTATATGATTGTTGCCTCTCGGGGCCCTTTTGGAAGGCCTCTTGAGCTGTCTTGGGAGCTTCTTGGGCCTTCCGGGGGCCATCTCAGGCGTCTTGTTTCAATCTTTGGGGCGACTCCTGGCTCGCTTGGACCATCTCGCGGACCTCCTTAGGGCCGCCTGTGCTGCCCGCACTCGCGTCTGCCGCAGTCAGGCCGACTTCTGCCGGCGTTCCGCCCGTGGCCAGAACATTAGGGAGAGGTTCTGTTCTTGCAGATGTGCCAAACCAAATCGCCCAGAAAGAGGAGGAGTCAACAGAGGGTCGGCGAGGAAAAGGAGGAGGGAGGAAGAGGAGGATGACAAGGACGAGGGCGATAAGGAGGCGGAGGAGGAGGATGAAGAGGAGGAGGAGGAGGAGGAGGAGAAGGAGGAGGAGAAGGAGGAGGAGAGGATCAGGAGCAGGAGGAAGCCACCAGAGGCGTCCCAACGGGCCCGTGGCGACGAACAGTCTCAATCTTCCTCTTCCTCTTCTTCCTCCTCTTCCTCCTCATCCTCCTCTTCCTCGATCTCCCCCAATTCCTCCTCCTATTCTTCCTCCTCCTCCTCTTCCGCCTCCTCCTCCTGCTCCTCCTCCTCCTCCTCTCCTCCTCCCTTTCCCTTTGCCTCACGTTTCCCCCCCCCCCCCCCGCTGCGTTGCTCCGCCACTTTGTGGACCCCCCCGCACTCCCTGGGAGCCTGCGCAGGCGGACAAGAAGAAGGACGGGAAGGGCCGCAGGAAAGACGCACAGGGGCCTGAGGCAGAGGCGCATTGCTTCTTGGGCTGCTGGGCAGGTGCGAGGAGGAGGAGGAGGAGGAGGAGGAGGAGGAGGAGGAGGAGGAGGAGGAGGAGGAGGAGGAGGAGGAGGAGGAGGAGGAGGACCCTGAGATCTGGGTGTTGCACTTTTTCGCGCTGTGCGTGTTCTAGGACCATCACAGATCGATCCGGCTTGAGAAATGACGCAGAAAGATGGGGTCCAGTGCTAAGGTGGTGATTTTTCCTGATGTTGCCTTTTTGTGGCCACGTCAGATCTGAGGTTGAGGAGGCTGGGTGATCGGTGAGGGAGGATCGAGGGTCAAAGTTTTAGTTGTTTCAATGTGTGCGTCTCTGGGAGGAGGCCCACGATGTTTTCTGTCCAAAGTGCGCCCCAGGGCAGGCCCAGCGGTCCGTTCGGAAGACCATTGCTCAAATCAGATAGAGCGCACCCGCAGCGCCGGGAATACGAAAAGGGGGGCCAAGCTTCACGCTCCCCCCCTCCCCCCTCCCTTCCAAAAGGGGGGGCGGCTTCCGCAGCTCCCCCCTCCCCCCCTCCCTTCTGTAATGGTTTCTAAGCTAGGGGGGTTCTGGCTTGAGAGGGGGGGGGGGCTTCGAAGCTACCCCCCCCCTACCTGGGGCTTCGAAGCTACCCCCCCCTACCTTCGTTTTCCGGAGCAGAAGGTGCTCCCGGGCTTCCCTTTCAAGGGGGGGGGGGTCGGAAGCTACCCCCCTCCTCCCCAGCTTCAAGCTACCTCCCCCCCCTCCCATCCAAAAGGGGGGGAGCTTCCGAAGCTCCCCCCCCCCTGTAAGGGTGGGTTTCTGAGCCAGGGGGGCCCTGGCTAAAGGGGGGGGGGCTTCGAAGCTACCCCCCCTCCCTTCGTTTTCCGGAGCAGAAGGTGAGCCCGGGCTTCCCTTTCAAATGGGGGGGTGCTTCGGAAGCTACCCCTCCCCTCCTTCCTTTTTTGGTCTGGGCACAGGGGGGGGCGGCTTCAAGCTATTCCCCTCCCCCCTCCTTTGCAAAGGGTGGGGGGGGCTTCCGAAGCGACGCCCCCCCCCTCTCTTCCGGGGCTCTGGCAAAATGGCGGAATCCGTGACGACAGGTGCGCTCCGCAGCGCTAGAGAACGCATTGGAGAATAACGTCGACCGCTGGTTTGTTTTCTTGTTTTCTCGGCCCCTGGTTCGCAGTCTCGTTCTCTTGGGTCCTGGTTCCTTTTATCGTTTTCTCGTTTTCTCGGGCCGTTGTTAGTTTTCTTGTTTTCTCGTGTTTTCGGCTCCTGGGTCGCGGTCTCGTGTTCTCTGACCCTGGTTCGTGTTTTCGTTTTCTCGTTTTCTCGGCGTCTGGGTCGTGGTCTTGCTTTCTCGGGCCCTGGTTCGTTTTCTCGTTTCCTCGTTTTTTCGGTTCCTGGGTCGTGGTTTTGTTTTCTCGGACGCTGGTTCGTATTCTCGTTTTCTCGTTGTCTCGGCCCCCGGTTGGTGGTCTCGTTTTCTCTGACCCTGCTTCGTTTTCTCGTTTTCTCGGCTTCTGGGCTTCTGGGTCGTAGTATTGTTCTCTCGAGCCAAGCGTTTTCTGGTGATCTCGGCCCTTGGGTCGTGGTTTCCTCGGACCCTTGTTCGTTCTCTCGTTTTCTCGTTTTCTCGGCCCCTGGGTCGTGGGTCGTTTTCGCGTTTTCTCATTTCCTCGGCCCCTGGGTCGTGGTCTCGTTTTCTCGGGGCCTGGTTCGTTTTCTCGTTGTTTTGGTTTTCTCGGCCCCTGGGCTGTGGTTTCGTTTTCTCGGACGCTGGTTTGTTTTTTTCGTTTTGTTGTTTTCTCGGCCCCTGGTTCGTAGTCTCGTTTTCTCGGGCCCTGATTCCTGTCATCGTTTTCTTGGTTTCTCGGCCCCTGGGTCGTGGTCTCGTTTTCTAGGAGCGATATTCGCGTTTTCTCGGCCTGGGTCGTGGTCTCGTTTGCTCGGACCTTGGTTTGTTTTATCGTTTTCTCGTGTTCTCGGCCCCTGGGTCGTTATTTCGATTTTTCGGACCCTGGTTCATTGTCTCGTTTTTTCGGCCTCTGGTTTTTGTTTCGTTTTCTCGGGCCCGTTTTCTCGGGCCCTGCTTCGTTTTCTCGTGTTCTCGTTTTCTCGACCCTTGGGTCGTGTTCTCGCTTTCTCTGGCCCTGGTTCGTTTTCTCTGCCCCTGGGTCGTGGTCTCGTTTTCTCGGGGCCTGGTTCGTTTTCTCGTTGTTTTGGTTTTCTCTGCCCCTGGGTCGTGGCCTCGTTTTCTCTGACCCTGGCTTGTTTTTTTTTCGTTTTGTTGTTTTCTCGGCCCCTGGTTCGTAGTCTCGTTTTCTCGGGCCCTGATTCCTTTTATCGTTTCTCGTTTTCTCGGCCCCGGGTCGTGGCCGTGTTTTCTCGGACCCTGGTTCGTTTTCGCGTTTTCTGTGCCCTTGGGTCGTGGTGTCGTTTTCTCGGGCGTTGGTTGTTTTTGTTGTCTCGGCCCCTGGGGCCCCGTTTCGCTGTTCGTTTTCTCGTTTTTGCGGGCTTTTTTTGTGTTGGTTTGTTCGGGCCCTGGTTCGTGATCTCGTTTTCTTGTTTTCTCGGCCCCTGTGTCGGGGTGCCATTTTTCCTCGGTCCAATATTAGTTTTTCGTTCTCTCGTGTTTTCGGCCCCTGGGTCGTGGTCTCGTTTCTCTGACTCTGGTTCGTTTTTTGTTTTCTCGGCCCCTGGTTCGTGGCCCCGTTTTCTCGGACCCTGGTTCGGTTTCTCGTGTTCTCCGTTTCTCGGCCCCTGGATTGTGGTTTTGTTTTCTTTGACCCTGGTTCGTTAATTCGGTTTCTTGTTTTCTCGGCCCCTGGGTCGTGGTCTCGTTTTCTCGGGCGCTTGTTGGTTTTCTCGTTGTCTCGGCCCCTGGGTCGTGGTCTCGGTTTCTCGGGCCCCCGTTCGTTCTCTCGTTTTCTCTGCCCCTGGGTCTTTGTTTCGTTTTTTCGGCCCCTGGTTCGTTGTCTTGTTTTCTCGTTTTCTCGGCCCCTGGGTCGTGGTCTCGTTTTCTCTGACCCTGATTCGCTGTTTTATCGTATCCTGGGTCGTGGTTTCGTTTTCTCGGACCCTGGTTCGTTTTCTCGTTTTCTTGGTTTCTCGTCCTCTGGGTCGTGGTCCAGTTTTCTCTGACCCTGGTTTGTTATATCGTTTTCGCGTTTCTCTGCGCCTTGGTCGTGGTCTCGTTTTCTCGGAAACCGTTTCGTTTTCTCGTTCTCGTTGTCTCGGCTCCTGGGTCGTGGTGTCGGTTTCTCGGGCCCCGGTTCGTTTTCTCGTTTTCTCTGCCCTTGGGTCGTGGTTGTTTGGCTTTCTCGGGCCATGGTTCGTTGTCTTCTTTTCTCGTTTTCTCTGCCCCTGGGTCGTGGTCTCGTTTTCTCTGACCCTGGTTCGTTTTCTCGTTTTCTCGTTTTCTCTGCCCCTGGGTCGTCGTCTCGTTTTCTCTGACCCTGGTTCGCGTTCTCGTTTCTTGTTTTCTCGGCACCTGGGTCGTGGTCCAGTTTTTATCGGACCCTGATTAGTTTTCTCGTTTTCTTGTTTTCTCGGCCCCTGGGCTGTGGTTTCGTTTTCTCGGACGCTGGTTTGTTTTCTCGTTTTGTTGTTTTCTCGGCCCCTGGTTCGTAGTCTCGTTTTCTCGGGCCCTGATTCCTGTCATCGTTTTCTTGGTTTCTCGGCCCCTGGGTCGTGGTCTCGTTTTCTAGGAGCGATATTCGCGTTTTCTCGGCCTGGGTCGTGGTCTCGTTTGCTCGGACCTTGGTTTGTTTTATCGTTTTCTCGTGTTCTCGGCCCCTGGGTCGTTATTTCGATTTTTCGGACCCTGGTTCATTGTCTCGTTTTTTCGGCCTCTGGTTTTTGTTTCGTTTTCTCGGGCCCGTTTTCTCGGGCCCCGCTTCGTTTTCTCGTGTTCTCGTTTTCTCGACCCTTGGGTCGTGTTCTCGCTTTCTCGGGCCCTGGTTCGTTTTCTCGTTGTCTCGTTTTCTCTGCCCCTGGGTCGTGGGCTCGTTTTCTCGGACCCTGTTTTTTGGTGTGGACCCTGGTTCGTTTTTTCGTTTTCTCGTTTCCTCGGCTCCTGGGCCGTGGTCTCGTTTTCTCGGACCCTGCTTCATTTGCTCGTTTTCTCAGCCCCTGGGGCGTGGCGTCGTTTTCTCTGACCCTGGGTCGTCGTCGTCGTCGGTCGTCGCTCGCGCGTCGTCTGCGTCCGTCGCCGTCTTCGAATGATCTTGTCCTCGTAGTGACGACCACGACGAGGTCATGCAGAGACGGCGACAATGACGGCGACGGCGGCGACAACGACGACGAGGACGACGACGGCGTCGTACGAAGACGTCGAGCGACGGCGACGGCAACGACGACGGCGACGGGGGAGGATCGTCCAGCAGGGGGAGTTCAAGGGAGGGGGGTTGTAGCTAAGCCGCCTTTCCTCCTTTTGGAAAGGGGGGGGGGTAGTTTCCTGCAGGGGGGCTTCCGCAAGAGGAAGGTCAAGGGAGGGAGGGATGTTGCTATGCTCCGCCTTCCCATTTCGTAAGGTGGGGGAGGGGGGGGGGGGCTTCCTGGGTGCCGAAAGGGAGGGGGAGGGGGCCTGCTGAGTCCGCCATTCCCTTTGGAAGTAAAGGGGGGAGGGGGGGAGCTTCCGGCAGAGGAGGGTCAAGGGGAGGGTGGGGGTAGCTAAGCCCACCTCCTTCCTTTTCGTAAGGAGGGAGGGGGGGGTAGCCCAGGTGCCGAAAGGGGGGAGGGGGGGGGGCTGCGAAGCCCCTCTCGATCGCCGGAAACTGCCGCAGACCGTCAGACGACCGCCGCAGACCGCGCCGAAAGCCGCCCGAAGGTCGCCGAAGACCGCCGAAGGCGGCCGAGGAACGGTGGGTAACAAGGGGTCCACTGTCGAACACGTGCAGTCGGACCGAGGCACAAGATCGGGGTCGGCCTAGGGAGTGTGCCCTGATGCTCCTCGTGCTTGCCGGAGGCGCTCGTGCGTCCTGGGGAGGGCACCCTGGGATGCTCTCTGCGTGTTTTGGCCGGCGGAAGGGGCCCATGTTTTGTGGACCCAGAGATGCAACGCACTGAAACAATCAAGACGGATGTTTCTCGCTAATTTCGGCCCCTGGGGGCCCTCGTCGGGCTTCGGGACCGTCAAAAAACGACTCAGGATGAAAAACCGGTCCTGGGGAAGGGGTTGAGACTTCCAGGGGCCGCGTATTGAAAAAATCACGACATCGGATCTCTGGGGAGGATGCCCTTCTGGTCTGACTGAGCGGTTGGGTTGGGCGTTCCGGGGGCCTACGTGCAGAGGTTGTCAGAAGGGTTCGTTGGACAATGTCGGTTTCGCTAGAACAGGGGCCTCCCCAGAGTGCGACCTGAGGCCCCCCAGCTCGACCCGAGGCGCCCCAGCAGCCGTCGAAATCACCACTCTTGAGCCAGACCTTCTCGCCGTCCTCGATCCTTTTGGCCCGACTGTGAGCGGTTGGGTTGGGCGTTCCGGGGGGCCCACGTCGCGAACAGAAATAGGAGGAGGAGGAGGAGGAGGAGGGAGGAGGAGGAGGTGGATGAGGAGGAGGAGGAGAGTGAGGAGGAGGAGGAGGAGGAGAGGAAGAGGCGGAGGCGGAGGAGGAGGAGGAGGAGGAGGAGAAGCGAGGAGGAGGAGGAGGAGGAGGAGGAGGGGAGGAGGGAGGAGGGAGAGGGAGGAGAGGAGGAGGAGGGAGAGGAAGGAGGGAAGGAGGGAGGAGGGAGAGGGAGGAGGGAGGAGGGAGGAGGGAGGAGGGATAGGCGGGGAGGAGGGAGGAGGGAGGAGTGAGGAGGAGGGAGGAGGAGGGAGAGGAGGGAGAGGAGGGAGAGGAGGGAGAGGAGGGAGAGGAGGGAGAGGAGGGAGAGGAGGGAGGGGCGAGGGAGATGAGGGAGGGAGGGCAGAGGAGGAGAGGAGGGAGAGTGAGGGAGAGGAGGGAGAGGAGGGGAAGAGGAGGGAAGGAGGGAGAGGAGGGAGGAGGGGAGGAGGAGGAGGGAGGATGGAGGAGGAGGGAGGGAGGAGGGAGGGGAGGGAGGAGGGAGGGATGGGAGGATATGGGATGGAGGGAGGGTGGGAGGGAGGGAGGGAGGGAGGGAGGGATGGGGGGAGGAGGAGGAGGAGGAGGAGAGAGGAAAGGAGGAGGATGAGGAGGAGGAGGAGGAGGAGCAGGAGGAGGAGGAGGAGGAGGAGGGAGGAGGAGGAGGAGGAGGCGAGGAGGAGGAGAGGAGGAGCAGGCGGAGGAGGAGGAGGAGGAGGAGGAGGAGGAGGAGGAGGAGGAGGAGGAGGAGAGGAGGAGGAGGAGGAGGAGGAGGAGGAGGGGGAGGAGAGGAGGAGGAGGAGGAGGAGGAGGAGGGGAGGAGGAGGAGGAGAGGAGGAGGAGGAGGAGGAGGGAGGCGGAGGAGGAGAGGAGGAGGAGGAGGAGGAGGAGGAGGAGGAGGAGGAGGAACATGAGGAGGGGGAGGAGAATGAGGAGGAGGAGGAGGATGAGGAGGAGGAGGGAGAGGAGGAGGAAGAGGCGGAGGAGGAGGAGGAGGAGTCCGTAGCCATTTTGGCTCTAGCCGGTGTTCCCCGCTTTCTCCGCAGCCCTTTCGCCCATGGTCGGCGGCTCGGCGGCGGCGGCGGCGGGCACGCCTTGGATGGCTGCGGGGGGCTGCCCGAGTGCGTGGCGGCCCAGCGCATGGCGTGCCGCCGACATCGTCGTCCTCGGCCCGACGGCGGCTCGCCGCGCTGCTCGTCGTCGCCTTCGGGATGCTCTCGATGCTGCTCTGCGCGCCCGTGCTTGTGTCGGCGAGCCAGGCTCCTGGCAAGACAGGGAGCTGGCGGCGAGGCCCGCGCTGAAGCTCCTGTCGGCCGGCGCGGCAGTGCCAGGAGCCGCGCGCAGGAGGCGAAATGCGGCTTGGCACGCGGCTCTCGCGCCAGCCGGTTGCTTCGCCGCAGCCGCGGGCGACGGGATCGCTTGGGCAGCAGCTGGCCCACGCCTTGGCGCCAGCGCTGCTGCCCCAGGGCCTTGTCGCAGTGCGGCTCTGCGTGCCGACGCCGATCTCTTCGAGCCGCAGGTGGCGCTGGCTCCTGGCACCTGGGAGGTCCCGCTCGGGGACCCAGCCATGCAGGCCAAGGCCTTCGGGGATGGCCTGGAGGCGGGCTTGCGCCTCGCGGCCTCGCTCCCCGTGCAGGGCAATGCCGTAAACCAGGAGATTGAGGAGCAGCAGTTCGGCGTGCTCGCGAGCGCGGCGCCCGTCGTGGAGCACGTGACCGACATGCAGGACGACTCCGAGATCTTCGAGCTCTCGGGCGCGGAGGTCTCGGGAGTGGAGAGCGTGCTGGTCGGTGTCTCTGCTGCTGGCGACGGTGCTGCCCCTCCTGGGCCCCAGACGACCTCTGCTTCAATCTCGCAATCTCCCATATCCGCTAGGGGAGTGTATTCGCAGGGGCATGCGGCCGTGTCGCATGTGCAGGAGGGCTTGCCCATGGCGCAGTGGGGCCGCTGGATGCCGTCTCAGCTGCCACCCGATCCTGGGGAAGGCCGCCTGTTCGACCCCTGCGACGACAGTGAGCTCAACCAAAGTTCTCGGAGATATCAGTTCGGATTTGGATCCTTTGCCGGCTTCTATTCCGACTCCGACGCCTCCGAGATCTTCGGGGTCTGAGTGCCTGATTATCATGCCGTACTTCCTTATTTGTGGTTTTCAGTGTGTGCTGCCAGGCTTCTATTCTCTGTATTCCTTCCTTGGTCTGGTGTGTTTCGCCCGTCCATCACGTGGTCTGGTCTTCTGGCATTCTTTTTTTCGTGGGAATGGAGTGATTGCGTTGTCGGTAGTCAGTCAGTACGCAGCTGACCTCCACGATCAAGTCCTTCCTGGTGTTGCTGGGCGTTCTTATTCTTGTCGGGGGGAGGCAATTCTGGAGACTGGTGGTCTGTTTTCAGTGCTCTGTCTGGCGTTCTTTTCAGTGCGGCAATCGGTGTTCGTGGCGCCTCCCCCCACGTAGCATTATGTGGTTGTCTGGGCTATCTCACCTCGGTGTTGATCTTCCTGGACGTCTTCATCATTGCACCTTTGAGGCATGTGCGTTGCTGTCAAAAAAAAAGAGGAGGAGGGGGAGGAGGAACAGGAGGACGAGGAGGAAGAGGAGGAGGAGGAGGAGGAGGAGGAGCAGGAGGAGGAGGAGGAGGAGGAGAATGTCCTGTGTGTTTGCGTGGGGGGGGGCTCCACGAACAGGGCCCCGCGGGGTTCGACGGCGGGTCGCTCTGTTAGCGGGGCCCCCCTTGTGCCGGGAGCGCCGTGGCCGCCCTGACTGCCTGGGGGGCACTCCCAATCAGAGGAAAACTCCAAGCCGAGACTCCCTCGCGGAATGAAAAAATCACGACGGGTGGTTTTGCCGAGTTTTCGGCCTCCGAGGGGTCCTCCCCGGGCCTCGGGAGCGTCAGAACACGACTCTGGCTGCAAAGCTGGTCAGGTGGAAAGGGTCGGGACTTCTGGGGGATCGACGGCATGAAAGAATCATGACGTCGGGGGTCTGGGATCAGTGGATGGTTTGAAGTGGGATCGATAAAGGGATCGATAAAGAGATCGACTGGGAACCTGGGAATCCGGGACCCACCGAAATCGGCCCAGAACCGATAACCATGAGCCCGGGCACCCGGAACCGGGAACCCGGGAACCCAGCCGGCTGCCACAGTCGGCGGGGGACTTTCGCCAACTATTTCAATATCCACCAGGACCCCTTCAGCGCAAGCACTGATTGGGGAAAGTCGCACACACACATATTTATATATATATATATGTGTATACATGTATATATATATATATATGTATATGTGTATAGATATACATAAATAAATGTATATATATACATATAGATAGATAGATAGATATGTGTATGGATGACACTCAACACACATTTAAATCAATTAAAAGAACCCTGCAATATTTAATTTGACTCGAAATCTAGTTGACGACGACACATGAAAAACCCCCGGCCCCGCGCGTCGCGCGCAGGAGCCCCCGCGCGACTGCGGTCCCGCCGGAGCAGTCGGGCAGGGGATCGGCCACAGACTGGACTGGCCCCAGGAGTCCCGTCCCGTCGGATCGACGAAGGGATGCGCAGAGTGCTGCAAGGAGCCGACTGCGTAGTCGTCGCAGGCTCGACGGACACATCAGTGTTCGGTGTGAATCAATGCTGCAGTCGACCCCCTGCTCGAAGCAGTGGGTCGTCGAGGTCCCTTCCTGGGGACGCCAGGTCCGTCCCGAGCGCCAGGCGAGGCCGAGAGTCTTTTCTGGAGTGACCCACGCCGTGGTCATGTGCTTGGCTCTGTCAGCGGCGACATCAACACAACGTGGGCATCGGATGTGGCGGCGATCATCTTGGGCCATTTCGGGGGGCTCCCAGAGTCCTCTCAGACCCCGTCTCCAGGGCCCCACCTGCCAGTGTGCAGCTGCAGACTCATACGAGGGAGTTCGATCATGGACCGCCCGAGGAACGCAACCATACAGCTTTTCCGCACAAGATACAAGACCCAAGACCGCCGGAGACTGCCGGGGGCGGGGCTGAAGACCCCCGAAGACCGATGAACGCCGAGGGGTTACGGTAGGTTCGCGTCGTGTCGATTGGCGGCGACCATACCGCTGGCGCTCATCGTTGAACGCCGCCAGCGACCTAGAATCGGTCGATGCTGAACGATCTGACGTTTCGGAAGCGCCCGATTGTTCGAGGTTGAACGATCCCCGTGGTGTCATGAGCCAGCGCCAGGGTCGACTCGGCACGAAGCCGGAGTACACAGGGTCCGTGTTCGTGACGCGTACGTCCAGGGGTCCATGAGACGTCTGCCGCTTGATATGCTGCGCCCTCCTTTTCCGACATTTGCATCCCCTGGTGTCCAACTGACCTCGGACAGCTTCAGATCACCCCAGATCTCCTCGGATAGCCCTCGGGTAGCTTCGGCAACCCGCGGATGGCCGCCTGGCAGCTCGGGCTGCCTCGACATCTGCATCCTCTGGCGTCCGACTGACCTCAAACAGCCTCGGGTCGCCTCAGACCGCCTCGGGTTGCCCTCGGGTAGCCTCGGGGAGCCTCGACATCATGGCGTGTATAAGGTTGTGGAAGTCGATTTATGGAGAGGAAGCGTGCTGCCAACTAAGTTCCAGATGTCTAAAACATGTTTAAACTATGTTTCAAATAGGTTAACAACATGGTTGAAACATGTTTGGCACATGTTTTACACCTTTTATACACATCTTTCATTCAATGATCGGATTGTTAGAGTGTCCAGTGTCATGGCATCCACAACTAGAAGGGCCCTGAGGGGGGGGGGAGCGGCAGAGGAGGGCCGAAGCTCGAGCGGCGGCCCTCCCCCCCAGAGGCAGCCGCCGAGGGCAAGAAGGCCCGGGCCGACGAGCGAGGAGGCGCGCGGAGAGCGGATGGGCGCCGCCGGCTCGAGAGCCAGCGGAGGAGCGCACACAGGAGCGACGGAGGAGATCGGGGCCGATGGCGCTGGCAGTCGCGCGCGAAGCTCCCCGCGCAAGGTCGCGCGTGAAGCGCCCCCGCTTCGGAGGCAGCCTGCCGCGCGGGCGGCCCGCGCACGCCACCGCGAAGGGCCGCCGTGCCGTCTCGCGCGAGGCCCGGCCGTCGCCGTCGCTCGCGCGTGCAGCCGCGGTCGGGGCACGAGGCGCGAGGCCTGGGAGGACGAGGAGCGAGGACGAGGAGCGAGGCCTGGGAGCACGAGGCGCGAGGACGAGGAGCGGCAGGGCGGCCTCGGGAGGCGAGAGAGAGAGAGAGAGAGCGGCAGGGCCGCCGAGGGCCTGCTGTGGGGCGCAGGCCTGCTGCGGCGTGCGCCGCGCCCGGCTCTCCCGGGCTCGCCGGCCCTCGGAGAGATCCGCCGCCGGTGCTTCGTGGCCTTCGCCTGGGCCCTCGACTGTGCACCAGCAGCGGTCTTCACCGGAAGAGGCTCGCTCTCGACCCGCAGACCCCAAAAAGTGTGCACCGGCAGCGGCCCCGGGCGGGCGAGGCACTCCGGGCCTCCCAGGCGGGTCTCGGACCCTGACCTTCCAGGAGGGCTAAAAAATAGCACCCGACCTAAAAACCTATCCCAGAGCTATTTTACGTCTTGGTTTTAGGCTGCTTCGTTTATTTTTTTAGGTTTTTAGGCCTCCAGTGCTAAAAAATAGCTCTCTGGAAGGTCAGGGGAGCAGGTGGGGTCGTAGGGATCGAGCGGCCGCATCGCCGACGCCTCGGCGGTGCGGCTCGATGTGGGGCCCGGTGTTCTCCGCGCCGACGTCGCCGATGCATCGGCGGTGCGGCGCAGTCGTCCGACCCCAGCTGCTCGGGCCCCGTGTGCGGGAGCCCTCTCGTCTCGGGCGGGGCGAAAGGGGGGGATTGGGAAAGGGGGGGTTACGAAATTTTGCTGCATGCAAGCTGGTTTTCGGCCCCGCCTGAGGGGCCATTCCTCGATACATGGCCGCCTCCGGCGCCGGGAGGCGCCGGGAAAATCAGCTACGTGAGCTGATTCTCAAACCCCCCCTTTGCTATCCCCCCCTTTCGCCCGACCCGATCGTCACGGGGCCCAGGGTCGGCGTGGCCACGCCTGGGCAGGGCCGAGATCCCTGCGATCCTGGTGCCAAGGTTGGCAGGACAGGATCGGTGCGGGTGAGCACTGCGCGTTGCTCGAGTGCACGGGAAGGAGGACGAGCAGGCGACAAGGAGAGGGAGGGAGGGGGGGGGATGGAGGATGGAGGAGGGGGAGAGAGAGCGAGAGAGAGGGGGGGAGGGTTGCCTGAATTTTGGACGCAGTTGTCTGGCTTCCTTGTACCTCATGTGCGCATCGCTCATCACCACAATCTTGTCGAAAGCATGTGCGTTCGTGTTCACGAGATCCGTGGCCAACCTGTGGAGGTCGTCACAGGCCTGTCCGCTATACAGCAAGGTTGCGGCTATTGTTGGGTGCCTTCGGCACTTCGCAACATAATGCGCAGTGGTTGTAGTAGAACAGTGCGCGTTCAGTAGGATAGCGGTGGCAACGATGATTGCACATCTCGTTATCTTCTGGAATTTCGGGGCACATGCTAGGTAAACATATTGATGTCCGAAGTCAGTGCAGTTGTCGTATGCTTACGGTGTGATTGAGGAAAAGGTACCATGGTGCAACACATTTGGTCGTTACAGCGTTCAAGTTATCACTAGAGTTCCAGAGGCACGCTAAATCATGTGTGATTTCGGACCAGACGTGTGCCTTGTGGTCTTGAAGCTCGGGAGTTCGATGTAGTTTCACTTGAAGTTGGTGGATACGACAGGCGCAGCGATCTCCATGACATCCGTCTTTGTGATCAGGGAAAAGGTCCCGAGAGAAGCGGGTCTTGTGTGTGTTTTCCACTGTTTTCGGTCTCCCAGGGGCCTGTCCTAAGGACCCGGGACTGTCAGGGGACGGCGCGGAACGACAACAGCGGGTCCCAGCGAAGTCCCCGGCCACGACCCCAGGCCCGAACAGAGACCGTCTAATGCGGAGTCGCAAAAGACCTGCCGACCCAGGGAGACCCCAGAGTCCGAGAACTCTCCCTCATGCCAGTATGCCAGCTATCTCGGGGGAACGCCGAGGTCCCGCGGCCGATTTCGAACGTTCGGCCGTGGCAGC